ATTTATCAGCCTGGCGGGATGGTGTGTGCCTGTAGTTCCAGTTACTCAGGAGGCTGAGGCAGAAGGGTCACTTGAGTCCAAGAGTTGAGGCCGCAGTGAGCTGTGATCATGCCACTGCACTCCAACCTGGGTGACAAAGCGAGAGCATGTCTCAAAAATCAGTTAATTACTTAATCAGAAGCATCATCTCTTCCTCATGCAAAACGTCCAAGTCTGGGGGCATTTCTCCTTCCTCCTGGCCCCACTGCCTCCTCAAGTCCTGTTGTTCGCATCCCCCTTCCTTCTTCTTCCCCAGCTACTGCCCACACCAGTTCTTCACCTGCTTGCAACTGGACTGTTAAGACCGACTCCCAGCTTGGGCCATATCCGCTTCTCCAGACTTCTCTCCATTCTAGTCTGCAGTGGATGAATGTCCCTGGAGCCACTCCCTTCCTCTGCTACCAGCGATGACTCCCCATTGGCTAGTCTATGGAACCCCGACTTCTCCTCCTCAAGCCTTCCAGGACCCACAGGCTGATCCTCGGCTCTCTTTTCAGCCTCGTCCCTCATGGCTCCTTCCCAGGATCTCCACCCTACAGCCGCATCACGCTCACCTAGTGCTGTCCTAACTCCTGCATCTTCTCTTTCTGAATACCCTCTCCCACCTTCATCTGTCAAAAATCCTGTCCATTTTTCACAGTTAAAATTTTTTTTTTAGTTGGAGTCTCACTCTGTTGCCCAGGCTGGAGGGCAGTGGCACGTTCTCGGTCACTGCAGCCTCTACCTGCTGGGCTCAGGTGTTCCTTCCACCTCAGCCTTCCAAGTAGCTGGAACTACAGTTGTGTGCCACCATGCCCGGCTAATTTTTATTTTTTTTATTTTTTATTGTAGAGATGAGGTCTCACCAAGTTACCCAGGCTGGTCTCGAACCAGTGAGGCAATCCTCTCACCTCAGCCTCCCAAAGTGTTGGGATTATAGGTGTGAGCCACCACGCCCAGCAGGCCTTTTACATTCAACTGATATGTTAAATGTCCAAAAAATGTTTGTTGAATGAATGATAGAACCCCTCAAATTGGATATACGTTTCCTGCTAGATCTCCCTGAGACATTATTGGTGCCACTCCTGTATCTTCTTAAACATTTTTTGGTCTCCCAGCCCTAGCTTGCTTTCTTTCTTTCTTTCTTTCTTTCTTTCTTTCTTTCTTTCTTTCTCTCTCTCTCTCTCTCTTTCTTTCTTTCCTTCCTTCCTTTTTTTTTTTTTTTTTTGGGGTTT